AGTTCGCAAGTAGGCCTAAAGTTCTCAATGAGGATATTTTTATTTAATAATTATCAAATATCTAATAAGGAACTACCTTTGTCCTAAATTTGCTACTACTTACTTCTTAGTTAATCTTGCTCCTCTATTATTTAACAGTAGTGTGATGGTTACAACCACTACAGTATTTATGGTAGTCCTGTTTGGTAGGGGGAGTACGGTAGTTTCTAGCATCGCGTCCTTTGTGAATGGCATGGTATTAGCTTTGGGGTAATGGCGGCGTGCACGCTGAATGCCAGATGGGTGGTTGTGATTTCTTTCTTGGAGACCGCAATGATGGTTTATGCCAGCTTTGGAAAACAGTTGTTGTAGCTGTTGTTAGGTATGTGACAATGTTTGATGTAATACTTTTTAAAAGTGTGATATTTTGTATAATCATGTGCATTTAAATGTTTTGTGCAGACGGCAATGATGGTTTGTGCCAGAGTTGGAAAACTGTTGTCGTAGCTGGTACTAGGTATGTGATATATATGGTTGAAATGTATGTTTGTTTTATATTGTGCTGTATTGAAATGTGTATTGGTGTATTTATATATGTTATTCGATGTGTGGTGTTTTAAAAAATGATTTTGAATGTCCTAGCACAATAAGGAGGGTCTCTTTCTGGCTCTGTTTTAGGAGCTGGTTTGTGTCACTGTTTTGAATTACTATTTATGTCTGATATAAAGTATTGCACATTTGCACACGATATATTGGGGGGTGTTGAACCCTTCCGGTATCAACTTGCTACCAGCTAAGCCTATTTATGTTTTAGAACTTTTGTCGAGTTGTTAATAAATGACGGTTACATGGACGATTTGAGTGGAGAAATCGATTGCTTGTCATAGATAGGCTTTACAATAACAAGCAAAATATGTTTGGTGCATAAATCAGATGGACTTACTGAAAATGCAAATTCCTTCTCTGCCAGCAGGAGGTGCTTTAAAGCGGGAGAAACAGAGGTTTCCCCAGTAAGGGCTGTACACACAGCAGCGCTCAGCTCACAAACGCTGCTTTATCAGGCATATAACATGCAAGATGAAATGAAAATGACATCGAAATTTTCTAAAGATCGTCTTCCTTCAGAAATACAGTGATATAAAAACACGCATGCCTCGTTATGATTTTTAAATGTGCAGTATGTGCTCATGTTTATTCAACGAAGCCTTTTGGAAAATCTGTAATTTTTGATATTGTGGCACCACAAATAAATAAATGTATGGGAAACACATCCCACAGCACAACCACCTGAGCCCAACTTCAGTCTACTCATCACCTTAACTT